TAAGATGCCAGCAGCGCAGAACCTCATGTATATACGATGCTGAGCAGGTGGAGCCAGCCTGGGTACAGAGCATTGCGACTCCTGCCTCAGACACGCACGCCGATTCCGTGATGATACCGCCACACACTCCCCGGGATTCTCGAGAGCCTTCTAGGCTGCTCGGCTCACTGTCGAATAGCGAGCCTGCTGTATCTGGGTGTCCGCCGGGCCTACTATGGTATGCTTTACGATCTTACTGGCGTGCATCCAACTTACGAATCCGCACAGGTTGTTTTCCCAGCAGCTGCCACCCAGAATCAAACTTCATGCCTTGTTAGATGCTTACTTCAACAACGTCCACCCCATCCGCGTGTTCGCGTTCGAGCACAAGCCCTCGTTCATTCGAATGCTAGACGAAGGACAGCTCGTGGATGCCTCCGATCAAGCCCTCTTGCACATAATGTGTGCATTGGGTGCTCGATTTTACGCTCTCGACTACAGTGAGTCGTTCTCGCCCTTGACGAAAGATCTGATCCAGTCAGCCGGAAGCCAGTGGGCTAAAGTCGCGGAAGAGATGTTCTTCGCTGATTACAGCACCATCTCAATTACCAAACTCAAGGTCTTGGTCTTGCTTCACGACCAGGAAGCTCGCAATGGCAACTATGCTGGGTCTTTTCTTCTTACCGGCCTTGTCATACGTATGGCGCATGCCTTACAGCTCAACAATGAAGTGTCACCAGATGTGCTTTGTAAGGAATTAGGAGGAAGTCCAAACGAGGTTTCTGTGCGAGAGTCGCGTAGAAGACTCATGTGGGCGTGCTATATGATTGATGTCTGGGCTGGTAGTGGCGTCGACCACCTCACTATACTCAATGAAAGAGACCTCAAGATTCAGCTTCCGTGCAACGAGCGTCAGTTCTCACTACAGATCCCGTGTATTACGGAGCGGCTCGAGAGGGGCACACTATTGGAACTCATGTCTCCAGAGGACATTCCAGAGAAGCCGGCGGATAACCTGGGCATGGCCGCGTACTATGTGCGCATTGTCAGTATCTGGCGACGTGTTCTTCGGTGAGTGTGGCTAGGATCAGCTCGCGAGTCTTGATTGCTGACTTGGCTTAGGTTTGTGAAGCACATGGACGAAGAACAACCGCCGTGGCTTCCAGAGTCAGGATTCGCCGTCCTCATTGAGGACATACAGTCGTGGAAACAAAGCCTGCCATCCTGGCTAGATTTCTCCGCGGACAACATCTACATTCGGCGCGAGACACATCAGCTAGGTGCCCTCCTCCTCATCCACTGCATGTACCATCACGTTATGTGCGACGTACATAGGATCGCTCTCCCTGATCTGTTCAAAAACCAGGAGCCGTTCGTCTTCCCTACTGATCGACAAGCGTTTGTAAGTCATCTGCAAGACGTCTGCTTTGAGCATGCGCAGCGTATGTCGGTCCTAGTCTCACACATACTCCAACACGGGGTCAAACACTTTGCGGACTCCATACTGCCTTCATTCGTTTACAACAGTAGTCGCATCATGCTCTACTATATCGCTCGGATTCTGGACGTATCAAAGCCCGACGCAGGAACTGTAATTGGTCGTACAGTCGAGTTAGTGCAGTACAACAACCAGGCGTTGCGGGAGATGGCGTTCATGTACCCGCTTGCTGAATCGTTATGTATCACCTCCGAGCGCTGGTTGGAGACTGTACGCGACAGTCTGGCTCGTGGTCACTCTGCTGACTACATTGCGCCTCAGGATCCATCAGAGAATGAAGCGCGGCGCATTGTCGGCGCGCCTGCACCGATGGCTGGTACTCCTAGACAGCGAAATGCGGCGATCTCAGTTATTCCTCCTGTCGAGGAGATACTGTCAGCAACTTCACCCTCGACTCTTCGCACGGCTACTACTCGCTATCCTTTCTCAGCGCCTACCACTGGTCACGGTTCTTCTACTGTAACATCAGGCCAGGCCATGACGACACCATCTGAGAATGCAGTAGGGACCATGTACTCTTCTCCCAGCGCGCCAACTGCTTTCGAGCAACCCATGTTCAACCTGGACGACCTCCAGAATTTCTTCGGATGGGAAGCAAGTGATGACGAGAATGCGCAGTCTACTGGGTTCGAGGGCTTTGGTCCGCTAGGCTGGGCAAATAATTTCTCCATCATGTAAGTGAGTATTGTATTTGAAAGTTACCTGCTGGGCGTTTGGGCACGGTCTTTCTCATGGTATACCTCCTCTCTTCCGCTAGCATCGACGCGGTAGGTTCTTGACCATTTTGGTTCGTTACTAGAATGATTCCTCTTTAGGAGCAATATTAACTTTCTAAACGCACTTTGACTGGCCATAGTGGGTAACTAGCCCACTAGCATCGTGATTTGGACAGGAAGGTGCCGCTTACCCGTACAGCATGGTCCAACAGTGGTACAACTAACGTACACCGAAATACATGGTAACCGCCAAGCTCAGAAGCCGGGTATGTGGTATTTTTCCGCTCCACCAACACTCTTGGTAAATGCATTTATATCTACCAGACTCAGACAGGCCGACTTGCACCACCACGGCACGCACCTGAACATGAGTACCACCACACCATCAACCAGCGCATTGAGCGCAAAACAAGCTGCCCTCAACAACTTCGTACAAAAAAACTGGCACTATTGGCGCTATCTTCACATACCCGGGGCCTTCCTCTTCATGCTTGGTTTCCTCAGTCTCGCGTATGCGGTGCATCTGGATCGAGCGCGCCCGCACGAACGCTGCAAAGCCCAGAGGGTAACTTCGTTACTATTCTACGTACTAGGACATCAGCTATCACTCTACGGTATCCTGGTCTGTACGATGTGGTATGCGCTCAAGGACGAGCGCCCTGGATCGGGAATCGTCCGCCCTGATGCCCACAAAAATGCTGCGGGATCTTTGAAGGGTTACGATCTCGCATTGGATGATGGCTCCGGATCTTTCGAGGAAGTGCACGCAGTCCCATCAAACAATGCTCGCGCTATCCCGCTTGTTAGGTCTGCTATCACTGTCGCAGCTTCGGCTTTGGGCGTCGTCGCCCTGGTGACCCGATATAACTGTCTAGACAGCGAGTGCCCATTTCAACGGAAATGCTACGTAGTGAGCCTTGTATGCATTACAATCGCTTTTTCAAGGTATTTTTGGGGTTTTCTCAAGTACGTTCGCAAGATTGGGACATACATGAGGAATAACGCGGACTGGACCGGAGGATGAATCCGAGCTAAGGGTGGGTTGAATAGGGCACCCGAAGAAGGTAGATGCGAGAGTGTTGTGGTGTATCTAATAATTTGTTCATTGAACTTCATAAACGTTACTTGCCCTGCAAGCCCATATGCCAGTCTTCGCGTAGCGAGTGGTCAGCTACCGAAAATATGTCCAACCATGCTTCGCTGCCCGTAGCCATACCACGTCCGTATATTTTTGTGTCATGGATACTGTTCTGGACAACATCCGTTTTCGTCCAGTATGTGCATGCGACTTTTCCATCTGGCGATATGGCTTCTATCATGAGCATTTTGTTCTGCTCTTGTAGGACTGGAAACTCCGCTTGAAACCAAAGACCTCCCTTGTTGACATAACCTGGAGTATCTGCGCCCGGTCCGATACTGGCGTCCATGACTGTTGCGAAAACTTTGCATAGCGACGCGAAGGCTTTGGACATGTTGGTGTAATACTGTGTTCGCCAGGTTTCGTTGTTCATGATGCAGCGCAATGGATTCGTTCTCGTGGCTTCGCTGTTGTAGTATTGTTTGGGCCAGACATCCTTGGCTTGATCAGCAAAATGCGGGGACTATGTAGCGAAGATGCAAATACCCATATTGTTGTCATTGGAGACTCGCCATTTGGTCTGGTTTTCGCGTAACAGCGCGCCGTCTCGCTCAAGCCGCGCGTGTAGAACAGACAGAGGTTAGGTTCAGGTCGCAATGTAGCTTCCGCTTGGAATAACTCGACGGTGTATTTATCGACGGTGTCCCAGGTCGCCTTTGAGCTGTGGGTTTGGGTGCAGTCATCGTCCTTATGCTCTAGCGGAGCAGCTCCGGTGACGAGGAAGAGTCGGTAAAATGCTATAACAAAGGAGGTGAGCTTCATAGCGAAGTTGAAGTGTAACGGATTTGGGGTGAGGTTTCCCATGCAGCAGGGCGGAGCTGTATCTAACATAGATGTAAGCGGCCCCCAACGCCTATCTATGGCGAGGCTGAGCGTCAGGCGTGCAGGCTCGGCGCCTGCGCCCTGGCGTCAAGTTTGCGCATCTTGTCAGCTTAAATACCAAGGATACGTTCGCACCTCACACGACCAATTTCATCTCTTTGGTGATCTGGTATGCCTCTAATGCACACGGTTTAACAGCACCTAGATAGTCAAGGCTCACTCGGCTCACTCGGATCAATCGTGAATCGCGCAATACTCAACTAGCGATCTTGCGAAGAACAGCATCTCAACGGTGTGCCATGCACACTTCACATGGAATCACCAGCAGATCGCGAATTGAAACATCTCGGCTACGGGAATGGGAAATGGTGGATGGTGGATAGAAGACGATAGGTGGCAAATTGCGAGATGGTGGCTGGTAACCAAGCGCCCGCACAGCCCTGCCCAGACGCGATCTCGGGTGCGTCGGAATAGAGTTAGCTTGCCCCCGCATTTGTCCTAGTTGAGCCGAACGATCACAATGCCGACGTATCAGTCATGGCTACAGTTCCAGGGCACGAAGGCAGCAATACCATTTTGCTTTCTTCTTATATATGGGTATAGTACGACTAGCGTCACTACGACGGGAGATATACCTATGTCACGTACTTGAGTGTTTACTATTGACTTGGGCAGCAGGTGGAGTATGAGATGAAAGATACGTTTCTAGATTGACAGTACAGATACATTGAGCCCAACAATCAAGTTCGCTCGCTTTTGATTTCAAGATCGCACTCGTACCTTAGGCGGTGATGCGGTTTAGAAAGTCTGCTCTCCTCATACCAGGCGCCAGCCGCCGCGAAACCTACTAGCCACGACGATTTCGGAAATGTTCCTTCGCTTTACCAGTGGGACGAACCGTTTTTTGCTTGCTCCCCACCCAATGTCCAGCCACTTCGCAAACACCTCGATCTAGTGCTGGGATTTTCGCGTTTCCAAATATCTCGTCTGTAGTCAATTTCCATGGTTGACCTCCCACGTCTGAAGCCATCAGCGTCGTTGTCGGGTTTACGTAGTTCAAGAAGAAACGGTCCATCGTGATTCCGAGTGCTTTCGCTCTCATAATGTCTCCATGTATGAGCGTTGGGTAAAGGGGCCGTCCGATGTAGTAGACGCTGATGGAGCGCAGATCTGGAAGATAAGTGGTCGGATCGACAACAGTGTCGTTCAGCAAGCGTCTCACAAACCCCGTAGTGAGACCCATACAGTCAACAATAGTCAAAGACTTGAGGCTCACCGGCAACACCGAGAACAAAAGTCCGTTGGCCAGCACGACGTGACTAGGTGGAAGCGCAGACTCCGGAATTATCAACGTTTGTAAGTCATCGAAATGGTAGTATATGGGCGATATCAGGTAGGCTCTGGAAAGTGTTATACCACTCCACGAGGATGGCAGCTCCAGCTTGGTGAGGCGAGAGTACTTGGACTCGAAGACTTGAGCGAGGTACTTGTGCTCTCGTAGTTGTTGCGTCGAGGGGTCATTGGTCCAGTGACGTCGGCCATCAACCTGCGGACTCATTGGTCCTTGCCACGGGTCTGCATCCCTGAGCAACATCGGATAGTGAAATACATGGCCGCCACCAAGAAGTAGTTCCTCGAGATTTGGGAGTATAGAAAGAAGCAGAGCAAGGAAAGCGTTGTTGTGACCTGATCGGAGCGCGTCTGCCCACATCCGCTTGTTCCGGTTGCTAACGTCCTCAGCCTCCCGGATGGTGTTTAGGCAATCTGTCCGGAAAGTGACCTCGGCCTCGATAGCGAACTGCCTCGACGGCATTCTCGACCGGCGTTGCGCATCCCCGTACTGTAGAAGTCCAGCGCGCAATTTGCGCCGAAGATGACATTCTCGGGAACTGCTCCAGGGTCTTCGCATGCAGCCGTCTTCATCGCCGCCGTAGTTTGCTTTCCGAGCCTCAGGAGTCACATAATTTGTGATTTCGAGAGACTTGACTTTATCCGCCCATTCGTTAGCGGGAAAATCCCGAAGCGTTCGGAACAAAGCGAATGCTTTTGGGAGTGGAACCGTAAGTGCTTTAAGCTCGTGAAAGGTGGTTCGAACGACTTTGGGGAAGCGACTGTTCGCGGCGGCAAGAGATGTTAGGTTTCCGTAGGCGCTTCGGTCAAAGCGCGGCTCGACTATAAGTTGAGGGATGATTTGAAGAAGTAGCTCGTCGGGGAGGTCCCTGATACTGGCCTTGGGGATACTGCTGGCTGTAGAGAACGACATGGCTGACGATTAACAGTCTGCGAGCGTGCGGAGGAATGAGTTGACGAATAGAGAGTATCAATAGCAGTGACTACATGAAGGAAAAGAATTAAGTATTCATAGGCAGATGTTAGTAGGCACCCGTCTGACTCCATAAGTGCCCTTCTATCCGTTCGGTTAGGGTAGACATGGTAGGAGGTGCGGGGCAATGGGGTCGAAAGGCAACCAAAGAAGGCGAGATAGGGAATGTTCAAGCAAGATTCTCTAGCCAACATGTGCTGTTGCCTGGAAGGGGCTTCAGTCTCGAGTGAAGCCAAATCCTGAAATGGTCGCATAAACTGTCTCGATATAATGGGTAACAAGTGCAATAGCCAAGAGCGACCTCCATTCGATAGTTGACAGTAGCGGACGTGGTGTACAGTATGGAAGACTGCCGCCCACTCCAGTAGAGCCATCGACACATATGGTAGGGTCGTCAAGGAAACCGCGAGAGCTGCTATGCGCCTCTGTTGCACGACCGCATGTGCATTATCGCGCCACCGACAATTGCTGTGAGTACTTCCTATCGTGGCTTGTTGTTCGCGAGCATATCCGGTCTGTCGCTGGTATCGATCCTGTCTTTATGCTCAGTGCTGAGTAGGCGACAGACGAGACTTCTGATGAGACCATCGAGTACATCGACACAACCGTAACAGTGAACGTACTTCGACCTCCTCGAGGGCGACATCAATGCAGCCCCGGCGTAACAGGGACTTGTATGTGGTCAAGTGGTGGAGGAGCAATCCCTGCGTCTATGAAACGGACGTCTACGTACTCGAAGGGCCTGATAGGGGGCGTCTTTCGAGGGACAGCTCTCTGATACTGCCGGTGTTCATATCCTGTCCAGTACGCAGTGTGACTGCACCTCGAGATACGGCATCGGACCGTGCAAGATTTAATGTGGTTCTGCGGCCAGTGCCCTTGCATTCATAAACGGTCCAGGGGCGGGAGGCTGCTGACTCGGACCGATTCGATCGCTGAAGTGATCGTCCACCAACGGTTTTCTCCGCAGCTCAAGGCACATGCTTTTCGTTGTCGTTACTGATGACAATTCTCAGGCAGAGCTTGCCGTGTGACATCGTCGAACTGGGCGAAAAGATACATAGTACGACTGCACCTACAATCCGGTGAAAGACTAGCATAGTGGCCTTGGGACTACCAATTCAATAGTCAGAAGACTTGAAGCTGAGGTTTGCGTGTAGCTCGACACGGGCACTCGATGTGGAGCAGGCACGTGGCGTGGAGACGCGTCGGGAAATTGCTGGTAGCCCAATTCGTTCAGACAACGCTAATCCTCCACCAGTTTGGTAAAGCTAGAGTCAAGACACGGGTAAAATCTCCAACGGCCGTCTCGTAGTTGTAGCGCGATATCAACAAAAGGCTGCGTCATGGAAGGTTTACCGTGCGCGCTGTGAAGGCACTAAGCTGTATTGGTCAACGCTACGCCGCTTGGGGAACATTCGGACCGATCCAGGAAGGAGTGTGCCTGAGTGCTGGCTTCCGACGATCGCGCAAAAATACCACCGTACTTTCTGTAAAACCGCGACCCAGTAGTTTGCGCGACCACATAATGGACTGCAACTTCAAGTATACTTGAGTAGCTGGAGACAACAAACTGCAGGTCGTCTATACTAGAAGACGCGCATACGGGCCGATCGTTCACGTTGTAACGGTGAGATGTGGCAGAGCGGACTGCAACCCACTGACAAGGAACAAAGAGCCGCTCTGAGAACGACCAATGCAGCGTCGATACCAGTGCGATGGCAGCCCTATCTAAGCTTTTCTCACTGAATGGGTCATACCAATGAGTCGCAGGAGACGTCTACGATAGTCCGCATCGAAGCCGCGAGTTCCGCGCCCTGGCAGTTCTACCCCTGATGCCGATCCCAATCGACACCAACACGATGACCTGAAGCGCACAGGTTATGACTCGGGACTGTTAGAGACACAGCAAAATAGGAAGAGCTTTGGGAGACTGAAAGCGGCGTCGCGCATGGCGCATGCCCTTGAAGTCATCTTGATTAAGGTTCCTCTTGGTAAGGCGAACTAAATGAATCCAGGGATGCATACCTGGAAAAGTCACGACCAGCAGTACCTATGCCAAGCTGCCAGCCTCAAGACAAGATACGGTGAGGCTGTCAAATCTGCCATACTCCAGCTAGAAATTACTCGAGCGGGGCAAAGGACCCGTGCTGGTGGTTTCCACCTTTGTGGGGTCACCAACAGCGATCTACGTTCATGATACCACTTCATAATGGCCGAATGCATGGGTCTCTCCAGTGGATCAACTACGGACACCCTGGAATCAGGCTTCGTCATGTCGATCGACATCCTACTGGTCTTCCTAATGCACACAACGGTGATATACCGGACATTACTGTGCTGCCACACTTGTACATGGTGTGGCGTTAGGAGAGAGACGTTGGAGTGGGTGAGTATATAAGTACTATCGGCTCCGACTTCAGTAGTAGTATCATCCAGCTACAGATCCACAGTCATTCCTTTTTTACGACACTCGCTTTTTGCTCCAACTATTTTACAGTCTTTCCAAGAACCCTAATTCTCCCAAGATGCGTTTCAACGTCCCCGCCATTCTTGCAGCCGCCGCTGTTGCGAACGCCGCTGTTATTCCCCAGATCCCCAAGGTTGATGGCGTCGTTGGTGGCGCCACATCTGGCGTCTCTTCCACCGTCAACGTGAGTACACTACAAGTCGTCTTATGATCACTCAACTGACAAGTTCAACAGAAGGTTGAGGGTGTCGCAAGCCCCAAGATCAACGCCTCCATCGGTCGCCGTGTTAACGCAAAGGTCGGCACCAAGTTCGGCTCCGTAGACGCCTCCGTCGACCCCAAGAAGATCAACGCCAACGTTGGTGCCCACATCACCAGGCGCCAGGTCCCTGACGTCAAGCCCATCGTTGGTGGTGCTACCTCCGGCGTCACCTCCACTGTCAACGACGTCAAGAACGTCGGTGCTGACGCCAAGGTCGAGGCTCTCGACGACGTTGTCGAGGTTGAGGTTGGCAAGCGCCAGGAGCTCCCTGTCGCTGGTGACCTCGTCAATGGTGCTACCTCCAAGGTCACCTCCACTGTCGACGACGTCAAGAACATCGATGCTAAGGTCGATGCCCTCGGTGCCTCCATCGACGCATCCATCGGCAAGCGCCAGGGCCTGCCCGTTGTTGGCGACGTCCCCGTTGCTGGCGACGTTACCTCCAAGGTTGGATCTACTCTCGCCGACGTCCAGAACCTGGACGTCAACGGCATCGCTGAGGGTGTCACCGCCCCCGTTGCCCCCGTCGTTGACGGTGTTGAGTCTGCTCTCAAGCCTGTTGTCGACGGTGTCGAGCAGGCTGTTGCCCCTGTCACTGGCGCTGTCTCCGGCCTTGTTACCCCCATTGTCAACGACGTCAAGGACAGCGCTCTCGGTGCCGTCAATGGCGTTACCTCCAAGGTTGAGTCCACTGTTGGATCCACTGTTGACGACGTCAAGAACACCACTGGTTCCGCTTCCGTTCTTGGTCAGTCCGCTGATGCCGCTGTTGAGAAGCGCCAGGTTCCTGACGTCGCCCCCGTTGTTGGTGGTGCCACTGGTGCCGTCGAGCCTGTTGCCAACACTGCCACCGGTGCCGTTAAGCCCGCCGTTGACACCGTCAAGGGTGCCGTCGAGCCTGCTGTGAACACTGTCAAGGGCGCTGTTGAGCCCGCTGTCAACACTGTCAAGGGCGCCGTCGACCCTGCCGTCAACGCTGTCAAGGGTGCCGTTGAGCCCGTTGTCAACACTGTCTCCGGTGTTGTCTCCCCTGTTGTCGACAACGTCAAGGGCGTAGCCGGATCTACCGTCAAGACCGCCACCGACAAGGTCGGCTCCACCGTCGACGATGTCAAGAACATTGACGTCTCCGCCGATGTCCTCGGCGCTGCCAAGGTCGACGCCTCCCTATAAAGGCGCTGCTAAGCTATGACGGTCATGCTTCGAGCGTTACGCAATCTTCCAGCGTCCATAGCGGGACGCGTTTGTACATATATCCTAATCTGTAGTAACATCTAATCAGAAATACCCCCCCTGACTTCGTTGATTACCTGTGAATCTGCCAAACTGGAAGTGTCTGTTGAGCTCACTGGATTGACGAAAGTAAAGTCGTCTTTGTCGTTATGTGCTATGTCCAAGTTATCGAGCTGTCCGAGTCATGTGTTGAACTATGATCACGTTGCCGTCCCTTTGTAGTTTTTTGTTCGTATTGTCTCAGTGATTATCACACACCTGATGTAATTAGTGATCTGTATGTACCAAAGTGCATGAAATGGAGCTGAGACCTATCCGAAGTCTTCACCATCTGGCTTGGGTAAGAGAAATTATTACCCAGTCTTAGCTCCATGACAAGTGAGAGGCTCTTGGGTTCGGCTGCTACTTGTTTGCACGCAATCTGCTTACAACGGTCCTTCTCTCATGTCCAACATTCCTTTCTTCCTTAACGACAATAACTCTATTTCAACACAGTCGAAATGGAGTCCCCCAGCAACCCACACAAGCGACAGAAGCTCGGTTTCGAGAGGTAAGTCGTAAACTACATTGAAGAAAGGCACACTGACAATATTGGTTCCAGCTACTCAAATTCAAAGATGTTATCCGACATCACGATTCGATATGGAGTCTCAGGAGAGCGGACCTTCGAAGCGCACAAAGTAGTGCTAAGCGCAATGTCGTACTGGTTCAAGGCAGCTTTCACTGGACAGTTTGCAGTAGGATTATCTTCCGATGATAGAGATGCATCCCTTACTGACGCACGAAGGAAAGTTCCGCCAGAGAGATCACCCTGAAAGAAGACGATCCCGATGCTCTACTCTTGATGCTCAACTTTGCATACGATCAAAAGATACCAAGTCTGGATGACGTTGACAACGTTATTCGTACTGCCCGTAGCATCCGAGATTGCTTAGGCTTGTACCGCGTCGGTGACAAGTACGACTTTCCTCAGTTCCGGGATCGGGTCATCTCAGTGTTCAAATGTAGCATTGGTTGGTGGTCGATGCAAGTGCGATCAGACGACCCAGACCCTATAGATGCCGTTGTACATCGAGAGTTCTGTGGATTCGTCAGAGACGTCTATGATATTGTTGGTTCGGAACATCATCCTAGTCATCCATTGGTAGATGTGTTGCTAGGATTTGCAGGCGACCAGCGATCCACATATATGGTCAACCGCATCGGTCGCCAGCCACTCATAGCGTCGGCCTGTCGGGAAGTGGCAGAATTTGGACGGGACATCTTTCTCCATTTGATGGCAAAGACTGGAGTCTTACATCAGGATGGCGGTATCGTGACGGAGGCACTGTGTATCGCGGCTAGCAGAAGATGTCCAGAATGTGAGGAGATTGTGTTGATGGCCGAGCTGAAGGAAAATGATTGGAAGGGTCACTGTCCTCGTTGTGGTGGTTACCAACTAGACTGGCGGCCAGAAATGCTGTCTTACGAGGAAGACAAATTCAGTTAGGAAGGACAAGAAAGCAAATGATAATACCTGGGTATTCTTGCGTAGCTAGAAGAGTGGTAGCGCGGTCTTGCCTCGGCAGCGGAGATGTCCGGCACTACCGACAGGCCACCCTGAGCTAGGTTTCAACTTTCCAATGTTTCCCCCTCGAATTGCTGTCCATGAACTTGCGATTCCACCAGCCTGCCACTTTAACGACGTTACGACCCATTGACGACCATTTTGCATCTCTCGCTCTCTTTTCTGTCTTTCTGAACTGTTAGAGAAACTCCGCGTGGCTCCTACTTAGCTCGGAACCGTCTGCGACCAGCCATACCTAGAACACACGCCCTCGCGCAATCACGCCTCACCGCTCCAGACTGCAGCTGCTCAGCTCACTCGACTTGTTATCGCACTCGCTCTTTACGTCGAAACTACACACCCTCCTTACCTGCCCACCATGCCCGAGACAACCAAGGTCGTGCCCCTCACCTGCCACGGCCACTCGAGACCTGTGCCGCATATTCACTTCTCGTCTTTGGTCGACGAGGACCAATATTACATTATATCAGCATGCAAGGATAACAACCCCATGCTCCGCGACGGAGTGACGGGTGACTGGATTGGCACCTTCCTGGGCCACAAGGGCGCCGTCTGGCAAGCGAGACTCTCCTCGGATGCCTCACTGGCAGCGACGGCCTCTGCGGATTTCTCTGCGTAAGTGCTTCCGATTACCGCGAGGGAAGCGAGTACTAATACTCCACAGTAAGGTCTGGGACACGCACACCGGTGAAGCCCTACACACACTCTCGCACAACCACATCGTACGCGCCGTCGCGTTCCCCAATCAGCCCCACCCTCAGATCCTCGCGACAGGAGGCATGGAGAAGAAGTTGCGCATATACGACCTTTCACGTAGCGACGCGACGAGCTTCGAGATTGGCGCAGGTGTCCACACCGGAACCATCAAGTCGATCGTGTGGACATCGGACCCGAACGTCATAATCACAGCCGCCGAAGACAAGAAGGTGCGGTGGTGGGACTTACGCCAAGAGTCTACAATCGGCGAGCACGCCGTCGAAGGCACTGTTGGCTCTTGCGAGTTGGATAACACCTCCTCGGAGGGCATTCTGAGCGTAGCTGCTGGAAACAGTGCCTACTTCTTCAACAGCCAGTCGCCCGGATCGCTCATCAAAAGCATCAAGACACCATACGAGATTGCCAGCGTGGCTCTGCACAACGGGGAGCGGAAGTTTGTTACTGGTGGTAGCAACCAGAATGATACCTGGGTCAGGGTCTGGGACTTCAACGAGGAGAAGGAGCTCGAGACCAACAAGGGCCATCACGGACCTATCTGGTCGGCAAGCTTCTCGCCTGACGGAAAGCTCTACGCGACAGGCAGTGAGGATGGAACAGTCAAGCTCTGGAAGTTCACATCCGGCCCGTACGGTCTGTGGAAATAGGATTTCGCATGACCGGCGCTGCTCCTTGCCACACCTATGGCCAGATGCAACATTCCAGCACCCCCATAGTAGCAAATACGAGACAAGTAGCATTTACCACTTTGGACACTTTGGACAAGCTGTTGCAATCCCGATTCTTAACAATGACATGTATGGAACAGGTGAGCAGAAGCGCTGCGAGCCCATATCGTAATCGCAGCATTGGAGTTGACATTCCAAACATTCGCGCGCTATCTCAGGCTACTCCAACCAGGGTAACTGTACCCGCGGAATTATCCGATTCGACATGCCGAAGGATCAACAACACCAATGGCGTGCAGCAACATCATCCACCTGCATATGCTACGGCCGGCCTAGGTAGCGATATGCAATGCTCAACACAACGATAAGACTGCCTTGGCAAGATAGCCGATAACTGCGTTCACGGCCGTTGCCAAGGGTGGGAGGCCTCAACTGCTGCACTTAAGTACAGATGTCATGACCTCGTTGTCTGTGTTGTATCCCCGAACATTACTGTCGCCTGTGAGAAGTCGTTGCCAGGGTCTTCGGTTATCTCGCCTCTACACATCTCAGGTCAATAGTTGCATCCGGACTTCAAGCACCAACAGCCGGTTCAGCAGCTGTACAGATTCAACATGGGAGAGAAAGAGGAGATCTCGCCAGCGCGAGAGGCTAGCATCGATGAGGGGCAACTTGCTGCTGAGAAGCAGATGCGCGATATCGGTGCAGATCTGTATCTCGAAGTCCAACAATACTCAAGAGAAGAGCTGGAAGCAGAACGCAAAGTCGTCTTGAGAAAGATCGATTGGGTCATCATGCCGATGGTACGTTCTTCTCAACTCATGTCATCAACTACGAGACAGCATAGCTAAGAGATCCAGATCTGCATAACATACATGATCCAATTCCTAGACAAACTCTCCCTAAACTACGCAAACGCCTACACCCTAACCCCCGACCTGGGTCTCCAAGGCGACCGGTACGGCTGGGTCGCCGCCATCTTCAACTTCGGCTACCTCTTCTGGGCACTCCCCGCAAACTACCTCATCCAGCGGCTTCCAGTCTCGAAATACACCGGCCTAATGATTCTCCTCTGGTCCATCCTCCTCTGTTGCCACGTCGCAGCGAAAAACTACTCCGGCATGCTAGCCCTCCGCTTCTTCCTCGGCATGTTCGAAGCCAGTATCAGTCCCGCCATCATGAACATAGTCAGTATGTTCTACCGCCGCGACGAACAACCCGTTCGCATGTGCGTATTCCTCGCTTTCAACGGCATGGCAACGATGGTCGGTGCGCTCCTCGGCTACGGCCTCGGTCACGCGCATTCCGCCCATATCAAAACGTGGCAACTCATCTTCCTCGTCATCGGCCTGTTGAACTTCGTCTGGGCGTGGGTGTTCCTCTGGGTCATGCCTGATAGTCCTTCCACCGCCAAGTTCCTGAATCATAAACAGCGCATCGTAGCGATTGACCGTATTGCGAGCAATATGATTGGTGTCAAGACGAAGCAGTTTCAGAAACATCAGGCGCTGGAGGCCGTGCTGGATTTCAAGGTGCTTTGTATTAGTTTGATTGGGCTGTGCTGTGGAGTTATCAATGGCGGTGTGTCGAACTTTTCGTCGAGCCTTATAAGGGGGTTCGGGTTTAGTGGCATCTACGCTACGCTGCTTCAGCTTCCGACTGGGGCTATTGAGTTCGTTGTTGTGCCGCTATGTGGACTTGCAGCGGGTTACTTCAGGGATACAAGGTGTCTTATCCTGGCTCTGGTTTGTTTGCCACCGCTGGCTGGGTTGTTGGGTATTCGACTCACGCCGCTATCGGAACGCTGGAGTCTTGTTGGATGCACTTGGCTGCAGTACATCATCGGTGCTCCGGTCATTCTCTCCTGGAATCTGCTTACGACAAACATCGCGGGTCACACTAAGCGTAGCACCGCGAACGGCATGTGGTTCGTTTTCTACGCGGCGGGCAATATTGCAGGAGCGAACATCTTCTTCGCGAGGGAGGCGCCGAGGTACTTCTCAGCGTTGACGGGGCTCATTGTTTGTTATTGCGCAATGGTGGTAATTGGGGGTGTGCTGGCCTTGTGGATGGGTTGGGAGAACAAAAGGAGAGATAGGAAGTATGGTCAGGGCGAAGATGATCAGGCCATTCGGGATGGATTCAGCGATTTGACGGATAAGCAGGCGAAGCATTTTAGGTATGCGTTGTAGAACGGATAGGGATTAACAGAGACATTTTGATAGTAACTGTTCGTGCTTTCATGAAGAGATGCTCATGCTATCCAGATGCTTCGCAAGACCATGGTCTGCACTATAATACTGACTCATATCACCTGGCAAGAACCCAATGCCTTCACACCCACCTTCGTCATCAAACTCCACACAAAGCATCTCCTTTGCTACCCACTGCGCAGTCTTGGCATGTAGACTCGGCTTCACCGATTCGCCGTCGCTCTTTCCCCCATACACTTGACTCCTTCCCTTAGCGAGTGCCTGGAACACTACCAACTGGTCGCGTAGGTACTCATCCACGCAGCCACCATGCTCAATCTCCGCCAACAAATCGTCGGAAATCTTCTTCACGATGGTAGGAATGATCTGTTCGAGCTTCCCAGCACGGAACCCACGATCGTATAGCCAATGCATCGCTGTTGGGGCTGAGACATGTATTGATGCCTGGTGTATGAGTGAGGATGACTCAGGCGGTCGCACTTTCCATTCATGCTGCGAATGAGCCGTAAGGCCACCCGTATATAGCAGCTGTCTATTGAGTCATATTCGCGCCTTCTTGGTTCGAGAGATGGAAGTTCCTCTGTGGAAATCTCGTCGATTCGGTGTGGGGGTGAACAAGGAGACGACCTAGAGCGCGCAAAGCTGCCGCATTCCGCGATTATGACGTCGTGCAGTGACAAACATCCAGACAATAGATATAGAGACAAACACTGGGCATCTAGAACGTGATGATTGCAAAGACGCTTGAACGCGGGCGTGAAGTTGGTAGTGCCCTGCTTCAGGGACTCTCGGAGATCGAGCCGCGGCACGCAAGCGATCGACGCGGCGGTCCTGTCGTCATCAGCGAGGCGCCGAACTTTTGATTGACATGTCCGAAGCCGTCCACTCCCACGTCCGCACGTCCATGGCCATGTCGAATGCCTCAATAACGCCCCAATTCCATCTTCACGTCCGGTAGCTGCCTCGTCTACCCTCCGCCAGCCATGCGCGCCCCGCTGGCTTTCTCCGCAAAGGCCTGGCACGGCCCAGGCAACGGAGCCCTCTTTTCCAATATACAGTCGCGCATCTCGACGACAACACCCGCCATTTCGAGATCCTTCGCTACCACGCCGATACCGAAAGCTTCAATACCGAAGACGTCACCGAACAGCTGCGCGCCGTTTCTCTTCGCACCGTCATCCATACTACGACTCGCAGTCGCGGGCACCGCACGCAACAATGGCCTACACACACCAGCTCGCATGTTCACGACATCGCGACTATTAGCCGAAGCCTCGAGCAATGCCAAGCCTGCGAAGCAGCGCATATCATACAAAGAGGAAATCAAACAAAAGGGCATCGTAGACTTGGAAGAGCACGATGGCGAGCCCGAGAACGAGGAACAAGGCTTTGCAAAGTCCGAAAAGGCAGCGCAGGCGAAACAGGTCAACTTGAGCGCCAAACTCAGCAAAGACGGGTCTGGCTCTTCAGGAGCGCCAGGCGGCATGAAGGAGATCTGGAGGCTGATCAAAATTGCCCGACCTGAGCTCGGCGTACTCTCTTGGGCCTTTCTGTTCTTGCTCCTTGGTTCTGGCATTTCTCTCTCGGTACCCTTCTCAATTGGCAAGATCTTGGACGCCGCTACCTCGACTGAGAACACCAATGGGCTACTCTTTGGTGTTTCTCCGTCTATCTTCTACTTCGGGCTGGCAGGTGTCTTGACGACCGGCGCTGCCTTCAACTTTGGACGTATCATCATCCTTCGAATCGTTGGAGAGCGCATTGTCGCACGTCTTCGATCGCAGCTCTACCGCAAGACCTTCGTCCAAAACGCCGAATTCTTTGACGCCAACAGGGTTGGAGATCTCATCTCCCGTCTCGGTTCGGATACCATCATTGTTGGAAAGAGCATCACACAAAATTTGTCGGATGGTCTACGTGCGCTCGTTAGCGGTGCAGCTGGTTTCGCCATGATGGGTTTCGTCAGTCTGAAGCTTACTGGTATTCTCGCCTTGATCGCCCCGCCTGTCGCCCTCGTCGCTTTTTTCTCCGGTCGATCGCTACGAAACCTCAGTCGGAAAATCCAGAAGAACTTGGGAACATTGACTAAGATCGCCGAAGAGCGGTTAGGGAACGTCAGAACAAGTCAAGCCTTCGCTGGAGAGGTTCAAGAAGCATCGCGATACAACCGGCAGATCAAGAGGATATTCGCTCTAGGAAAGAAGGAAGCCGTAGTTGCCGCGAGCTTTTACGGAAGTACTGGACTAATGGGCAACCTGACCATCATCTCCATCCTGTATGTTGGTAGTAACATGGTCAAGAACGGCGTCATCTCCATCGGTGAGCTCTCCTCGTTCTTGATGTACACCGTCTATGCTGGTTCTAGTATGGTTGGTCTTTCCGGCTTCTACGGTGAGATGATGAAGGGTGTTGGAGCTGCCAGTCGTCTCTTCGAACTCCAGGATCGCAACCCAACAATATCGCCCACCAAGGGTCTACCAGTGAAGTCGGCTCGAGGCCCCATCGAATTCAAGAACGTCAACTTCAGCTACCCGACCAGACCAGCGGTTACCATCTTCAAGGACCTCAGCTTCAGGATTGAGCAGGGTACCAATGTAGCCATCGTTGCACCCAGTGGAGCTGGAAAGTCTACGGTCGCCAGTCTCCTTCTACGTTTCTACGTCCCCAACTCCGGAACCGTAACCATCGACGGCCGAGACATCACCACCTTGAACGCAAAGCAACTGAGGAGGAAGATCGGTTACGTCGGTCAAGAGCCCGTACTCTTCTCTGGCACAATCGCGGAGAACATTGCATACGGCGTACCCAACGCTACTCGCGCTGAGATTGTGGCTGCTGCCCGAAAGGCCAACTGCCAGTTCATCAGCGATTTCGTACGTACAACCCCTATCATATGAGAGCCCCGCTAACAGGTACAGCCTGATGGCCTTGAAACACACGCTGGCGCAAGAGGAACTCAACTCTCCGGAGGCCAGAAGCAACGTATTGCCATCGCACGAGCACTCATCAAGAAGCCCGACATCCTTATCCTCGACGAAGCCACGAGTGCTCTGGACGCCGAGTCTGAAACTCTTGTGAACCAAGCGCTTAACAAGCTTCTCCAAGAAAACAACACAACTATTAGCATCGCCCATCGTCTATCAACGATCAAACGGTCCGACCGTATTATCTGCATCGACTCTGAAGGTAGGGTAGCCGAGGAAGGCACCTACGAACAGCTCAGCTCGAACCCAGAGGGCGCATTCAACAAACTCATGGAATGGCAGATGAGCGGTGGTGACGTGCCTGCTAAGGACGTCAAGGCCCCAAAGCCTACGGAAGAAGAGGAAATCGAGCGAGAGCTTGATGAGGAGAAGGAAGAAGCTGCTGGCCGCAACCGTGTCTAGTGAAGCTGCATCTTTATTTGTATCATATTCAATGGCAGTCGTGGCGATTTTGCGCGACTCTCCTGCTTCTTCATGGAAGCAACGGTGGACAAGCCCACCACCAACAATGAACCTCCACACAGCACCAGGGTTGCTGCACGCTTGGGCCCAAACACGCATCCCAAAAGCAGTATGCGCTCCGCAGGGAGTCCAGAGAGTGGTGTCGCTCTTGCATGGCGCTATTTGAGTGGTACTATTTGATCAAAACGAGAACTTCTACGATCACGCTCTTATATTGCCATAGCCTAGGAAATAGTTCACGTTCTGACGACCCAAGCATGTGAGGCTTGCAGCTATAATCAAACAATCATTCTCCTCTCAACATCACTCTGTACTCTGCAAGACATGTCGGGACGCTCCGCTAGCTCCTTCAGCACCCTGATCGCACCCTGCATCGCCATGTCATCACATAATCAGGTACGACACCACTCATAGCACGCACCGCAGCCTGATACATGAGAGGCTACCAATCAAGGCTCTACTGGACACACTAGCGTACCGAACAGGCAATCTCCCCGTACATCGTGAGGTAACGCGATGGTGACGTCATGCATACCACGCAGTCTAGACCCTCCACACCTAACGCGCGCTGACGCGATGTATACCGTGATGCAAAAGCAACGTGCCATATAATCCCCATGTCACTCGACCCCAAAACCCATCCATCTCAACCAGGTCCTCCCTAATGCTCAATACCACATCCCGTCTCCTTCGCCTCTCCACATCCACATTCACAAAGAGAACCTCAGTCCCCATCACCAAATCCTTCAGCACAACCACCCCGCGCCTCTACGCCGCCAAAATGGAAGCTCTCAAGAAAGTCGGAAACCGCGAGAACGCGCCGCCCAAACATGAAATGGTGCATTTCCCCGGTCTGATGAGCGAGAAGCGCAGTTTCGGCGACTTCCGCACCGTCCTGCACACAGGCCTGTACTCCCAAATCGTCGCTATGGAAGTCCCTGTCAACGGCGAGATCGGGGATGAAGTCCACACCGTCGACCAGATCCTGCTCTTCACATCAGGAAAGGGGCTCGCGACGGTGAATGGCAAGGACCAGGAGGTTAAAGCCGGTGATGTTGTTGTTGTGCCGGCGGGGACGCAGCATCAGTTTGTTACCAAGGGGGATCAGCCGCTGGAATTGATTACGGTGTATGCGCCTGCGGAGCATCTGCCGAGTAGTGTGCACAAGACTAAGGAAGAGGGGGATAAGGCCGAGGAGGATGAGATTGATGAGGCGCCTGAGTGGGCGTTGAAGCCTAAGGCGGAGAATGAGAAGAATGGGTTGGTTAAGGAGAGTGGGAAGTATTAGACGTAGAAGTCTGTATAGTGCTAATGATAAACGTGTTCTATGAGGCTGAAAAGTTTGGTGTCGTTTGTTGGTGTAGGAGATCGTGAGCCAGGGTACGTGCATGTATAAATATCGCCTGGGAGGTTAGACCTCAACCCATTCCGTAAGCTCTTCCTCGCGAACCTTGTGTCGCAAGAGCCTCTTCTCTTTCCCCTTTCCATCAAAGACGGCGGGTACGATTTGTATGTCAGACTCGCTGCTAAACTTCATCTTAACATCCCATGCCTTCCCTCGTTTGAGCTCCCCAATATCGTCCGCAATCTTGAGAGCTTTGTACTGAACACCGTCTCCCAATGTATCGCCCCAAAACCGTTTTGATTGCGGCATCTTGGTGCGACCGCCTTCAATATCATTTTCTGGATTGAAATTACACACTAACCACGGCGCGCCTGCTCTTCCGTTCTCCTCGATGGCTACGACGAGGATGAAGTTAGAGTCAGACCAGGATCTCTGCCATTCATTTCTTGTAGCCCTTTTTTTGTTACTTTCCAAGTCACAGTCTTTAAGATAGAACACCCGGCCCAGCTGCATAAACACAAAGCCCGTGGCGTCGTTGCCTCTAGACTCGTTCGTAAGTCCAGATTGATCTGATTCAACATCCTTAGGCTGGGCTCCTGCGGTCTCGGTATCGGATGCCGTCTTCCACATGTTGATACCAAGTATATTTCCGAATTCCGGCCACTCACGTTTGTCGTCCCAGTCCACGTCTTCATCCTCGTATATGAGTTTGTTATACCAATCAGGTACTAGGTCGAAGTGGTAGTCGCAATGCATTCCCAGTTCTAGTGCGCCCTTGTCTATCCCATGCATTATGTCATAGACGTCTTCGCGCGATTCTTCGATAAGGAAGTTGGTCTCTTGGATCGCTTTGATGAGATCGGCGGCGGTTGGACGTGGTTGGTTTTGGCGGATGCGTTCTGCTTCCTCTGCCTCTTGATTCATTTGCTTGCGTCGCCATTCGTGATATCTGTCTATACTTGCTATGTCGGGAAGGAGTTGTTCCATGCCTCGGGGCTGGTGGGAAGAGCTGTCGTCGTTGGTGCTGGGATAGCCAGCTTGCGACATGGCGCTGGCCATAAGTTCTGCGAAGATCTTCTCGCAATCGGCGTCGGTTAGCGATGACATGGTATCTTTTCGCTTGTTTGTTTAAGTTTGAGTGAGAAGGAAAGAGGGAGAGAGAGGTCAATTCCAATCTTGCGGTGTGAAAAGGCAACTTTGTTGCGTGTAAAAGCTCTTCAGGTGAACCATGGTACCATCAGTGAGTCACATGGTCTATTATTCAAACTTTGAACCCTTGCCAGATTGAAAAAAACGTTAGTTTCGTCCGCTTCGAATAGTAAGACTCGATGTATTTGTTATGCGGTTCCATGCTCGTGAACATAAACTTCGCCTGTCCAGCTAGTGTATGTTTCGCGTAGTGATACCTAGGTAGTAGTCTCATTATGAGAATTAGGCCCGCGGCTCTCCAAAACCTCTAGACTTGATACGACTGCTACTGCATCGAATTTGAATACAATGATTAGTTGAACACGGTGGATACTAACAGTTGGTGTGCATCCTGCGCATCTCCAACTAGACCTCGAAAACTTGAGAAGCGGGTGTTCCGGCATAAAGACATCCCGTTCGCCATTTCACCGCCGCCACCTTGAAGTGCAACTCAATCGTCCTTCAGTCTGCACCCTCTAGCCACTTCAACGACCCTCCTCAAAGATCTTCTGTCGCACGAGCTTTCCTCTCGAGGTAGATGACGTATTTACCACAGCGACAAGCTGGGGATTGTAGTCATCACCGAACCGGCTCGTCATGACCCATTGCTTGTCAAATCCGAGCTCACCAATATCCTCCCCAATTTTTACGGCAACATACTGGTTACCAGAGCCTGGAAGCGTCCCCCACTCGTCGTCAGTCTGCGGGATGCGGAACCGGTTGCCCTCCAGTTCGTGTACTGGCGTGAAGTTGAATAGCAGCCACGGGGCTCCCGCACTTCCGTCGTCTCGGACTACTACAACGAGAACGAAGCCGGAGTCCAACCACGGCATCTGTATGGGGAACTTGCTGTCGTTGTGGTACTTCTGCTTTCTGGAGTCATCGAGGTAGCACACTCTGCCTAGTTGCATGAATACGAACCCGGTGCCATCGTTACCAGTGGAGATGTTGCTGCTACCAGACTCGTCCGAGCTGTGCTCCTTACGTCTGTCTCCCGTCCACGGAACTGTCTTCGACAGGTTGATACCAAGGATACAACTAGGCATCGGCTCGCGTTCGTCGTTCCAATCAATGTCGTGATCTTCCGGCCTCAACTGGAATAGGTCTGACCTCAGACAGTAGTGGTACTTGCCATACGTTCCAATGTCGATATGAGAGTACAAGTCGGTCCCGAGTAGGTCGCATAGGTTTCCGCGTGAAATTGGGTCGAGTAAGTCCACTTCTCCTATGGCCTTGATGATCTCGTCGGCGCTTGCAGGCTCTGGAAGCTGTCGACTGAGCTTGGTCCTCTCACGACACCAGGCTTTGTACTTCTCTAGGCTGTCCTGCATCATAGCGTACAAAGTCAGCGTATTCATCATAACCAGTTTGTACGAGGATATCCTTACATGATTTGGGAGCAAAACCTCCATGCGCGCTTGGACCTTGGTTTCGATTGAAGGGTCTCTATGTAGGCGCGGGCTGCCGTCTGGGTTCTTGTAGCCAGTCCTCGACAGATCTCGTAGCTCTGTGTAGATCTCCTTGCATCGCTCATCGGTCATCGTCATAGCAGATTAACCAATGCAGTCGTACCGCGTCTTGGAAATGAGAACGGTCTTGCGCGAAGTACTTAATGGGTGACTCAGGAGTGTGGACGAAGGAAGTGGTTGGTGTACTGAGAGTAGGTTGCCTAAAGACGGGCTGCTTGGATATTGGTGATCGCAATTCACCATGGATCTGATCCAGAACTTGATGGCTATGCACACTTTTCGAACGAGTGGGTGTGGGTGCACACACAAACTGCTTGACCTAATAGTTCGGTAGCTAAACGCAATCAGCGCACGCATAGCGCAAGCATCAACCCCCGACCACGGTCGTTGCAGGACCACAACCAGTCGTTACGGAAAGCTCATTCCACCCGAAGTTCGCTGTTCTTTTTGAGTCGTGCTCAACGCTGCAATGAACCCTGGAAGAATCTGCCAAGCCTTAGATTGTTTTCTCTGCAGCGCACGATGTGCCAAGTACAGCCATGTACGACCGTAAGTGAGGGTCCTCGTTTTTTATTCGTATGATCAAGATCAGGGATCGAATCATTGTATCTTTTACACAGTTGGCTTTGTACTCGGACTGAGGTGGGTAATTAATGAAGCATATCGCATCGCCAGCTGACCCTCATCCGCATCCCAAACCAGATCTTGGAAAATCGCAAGTTCGGAAAGTGGGGGAGAAGTTCGGACAGGCTGCTGGACAAGCAGCGCGATTGTTAGTTCCACTCATCGGTATCGAATAGACATATGCTGCCCAGTGTGAATCGATCATGAACTCACCGTGATGTTCCATCGCGACTTTGCTTTCCGGGTGGTGTATGGGTTTTCGTCATAATGCAGCTGAGTTAGTCACGTATTACTACAAGCGGTAAGAAGGGTTCTCAGTGATCTCACAAACCTCCAGATCAGAGTGACGAATGGAACAGTGCCAGAATTCAGGGTCGTGACAGTTGCATCACAGATCTGCAATTGAGACTCGAGGCGTGTGGGGCCGCTAAGAGAGCGTTTTCAACGTTCTTCCACCATGGCGGAACACGATAGTGACGCGGACCCTGCGCGCGTTCGCGGTGGTGGGTGATGGTCTGTCAGCCTTGCCGTGGCGTAGAATGACATGTTTAGAGGCAGTCTAGATTAGAATACGGGTGTAAGTATCAGGCATATCCTGACATTGGGCGAACGCAAGTCTTGGTGCGGTAGGTTTTCGTGTGGCGTTGCAACGACGTAATAGCGCTGCAATGCCCCGATCGCGACATTTTCGCGAAGGCACTGGATGCGCTCAAGATGAGGGGAAACATGGCAGGATTAGTGTCTTCATGGAGGAACAGCGGCCGGAGTCACGATAGGTAACTCGCGGGGTCGGGCTCTGAGCCGAAGTTTGGTTATCAGATGCGATAACCGCCGAGAGACCGAGGACCGGGCGGCGTGACAATGGCATGTTACAGAGTTTGCGCGACTATGTGCCGAGAAGGCGTGCACTTCAGCTCATAGTAATTGCGGTGAAGGCTGGTGGTGTAATATAACGCGTTCGGCGAGTACCATGATCAGGAGATGGGGCTGATGCCGTGGGCGCAGCCAAGATAGTCGCAAGATGATTTGATCTAGGTCTATGTCGGATAAAGTAGGACATGACAAGTGGGAATACGAGCGGTTTCGGCGATGGGGCGCTGACAAGCGTCATTCGGCAGAAGTGGGCGTTCGGGATGCTCATCTCAGCCTTGAAGGCGTCGTTGATCGGCAGTAGGAAAAGCGTCCGGGCGCGGCCTCTGTCGAACATTTGTCCATCACCACCAGGCCTCACCTCATGCCCACACCCTCTGCCACGGCTAGAATCCGCCCAATACGAATCTATTCACAGTCACTGTCCATCGTGTCACCGATCTCGGGAATTCGCACGCGGCTGCCACTCGGTCGTGTTCGTTTGCCAGCCAGTCGAGGTGAGTGATGCCACGATCTGATAAGAAATTCGGTTGCATCGAAGCATCAGATAACCACCACCATCCCCCACATGCTCTGCGGTCGCACATCTCCGTCGTCCGCGGTTCAACAAGCAAGCGCGCCATGCACACCTGCACCGCGCCTTGCTGTTGCATTGAATTCCCTACGGCCATACCAAGTCAGCTCTTGCTAATCATGGTCCGCGCTAGCAGTCCCCTTTGTCGCGTCCCCGGCAGCACGCCCATCGCTCCTTCACCTCACTCCACGCAGGCACATGGCAACCTCGACAGCCACCATGCCCAGCCCCATCCCTACCACGTCGACTTCCCACCCTGACGACCCAATTCCTGCCGAGCCAAAGGATATCCCACACCTCTCACTCCGGCCCTCGCCGGCACAGTCGCAGCCGGAGCAGACGTCCCCCAAATCTTCAGGCGAGTCCACACTATGGACCACCAGCAGCGATGAGTCTGAGGCGCCCATGACGCCCATGACGGAGCCCGATCCGGGCGTTGAGGAAGTAGTCGATAAACTACAGGAACTGCCTACCTCGGCTGTCAATTTCTCTGGGCAGACGCGTCCTCGCCGCGCATCTACCACGCTCATTTCGGACAACCCAAACGACATCAGACGGATACTGGGCGAGGGTGAGACGGCCACCAAGCTCATCAGCCAGTGCTGCGGCGGAGGATGCTGTCTGCTCAAGACACTGGCCCCGGACGCATCGTCGCCCAACTTCATACCCGTCGTCGTCCCCGACAACCATGCCTTCCGGAGCCTCAATCTCCAGCTGGGCCCGCTCGCCCTCGACAGCGAGCTCACCGACACAATTCCGCTCCCTCCCGCCAACATGTCCTTCGAGCCTCTGCCGTCCAAGGACACCAAGTACGTCTCGCAGGTGCACAAGACGCCGCCCAAGTACGTTCAGCCACACCCGCCCTACGAGGTCTACTCGGCGCCGCTCTACCACGCACGCGAGTTGACCAAGCCGGGCGCTGAGAAGAGAACCATCCACTTCGACATCGACGTTACCGACTACCCCGACGAGGGAGGCGTCGACTTCAAGGTTGGTGGTGCCGTCGGCATCTGCCCTCCCAACTCGCAGGAAATGGTCGATGAGCTGTTCGATCTCCTCTGCATCCCCAAGTTTGTCCGCGACAAGCCAGTCACACTCAAGACGCAGACTGGAAGATGGCCGACCATCTGGGGCGAAGACGAAGCGCGCGAGCTTGTCACAACCAGACGCGAACTGCTGACCTGGTGTGCCGACATCCAGTCGCACCCGCCCACCAAGAACCTCCTTCGCGTGCTCGCCGAGTATGCCGAAGCCCCCAACGAGAAGAAGATTCTGACATACCTCTGCTCAGCCCAAGGACAAGCAGCCTTCTGCGACCTCCGTACCACTTCTCACTTCACAGTCTCACAGATGCTCAGCGCCTTCCCTTCATCGAAGCCGCCGCTACCGCACCTCCTCTCCGTCCTCACCCAGCTGATGCCACGATTCTACTCCCTCTCGAACGATCCCCACATCTCGTCTGCTCGCCCCGGCCTTCCCGGTACACGCCGTCTCATCGAGATGGCCGTTACAATCCACGAGACACCCGATTGGCATGCTGAGGGTGCCACGCGCACAGGTGTCGGCAGTGGCTTCATGGAGCGCATGGCACACGCCTTCATCACAGCCGAGAATGAAGGCGTCGATCCCCGCAGCATCCTCGATCTGCGCATCCCCATGTTCCGCGGACTCATGGCGAACCCGCTGTCGAAGCAATTTGGTGGTGAAGGCCCTATGGTGCTCATCGGAGCGGGCGTTGGCATGGCCCCTTTCCGTGGCTTCATCTTGAACCGTTTGAAGAATGCCAATTGCGCCAACAAGATCTGGCTCATCCAGGGTGTCCGAGACTCTATGCTCGATGAGCTCTACTCCGGTGAACTAGGCGACCACGAACGCGAAATCAAAAAGGTCGTCCAGAGCCGGAAGGTCAAGGTGGGAGGCTCCAACGAGGTCAAATACGTCCAAGACGAGGTGCGAGTACAGGCTGACATCGTCTGGTTCGTCATCAATGCTCTCGACGGCCGTATCTTTGTCTGTGGCTCTAGTAAGGGCATGGGCGAAGGTGTTGAAGAGTCCCTAATTGATGTTGCGATGCAAAAGGGCCGCCTGAGCGAAGCGCAAGCGAAGGAGTTCTGGGCCAGGAAGAAGGAGGACGGACAATACATCGCCGTAAGTACACTTTCCAAACCATGCCTACCTTACACATACTAACGAATACGAAGGAAACATGGTGAACATGCCCTCTCCGAACATCTGTACATACAGTTACGGCTTCCGTTTCACGACCGCGTCTCTATCCTTATCGCTACCACATTGCCACGGCGTTCGAACAAAAGGAGTCCTTATAAATCATATAGGCAGAACAAACATTGGTACGCACTTTCAGTCGAAGATGGCTGTTCATGGCCTCTTCGTTTTCTGGGTTGGGATATTCATCATCACATTAGAAGGACATGCGCGCAAGAGCATGGCGTTTGTCAAAGGTCGGGAACAGGCAATTTGTTTGCGTTATTACTATTGTCAAGTCTAAATCATCATATCATATGTTGTTGATAGTGGGAAGAGAACGTAATGAAAGATGTTATTACAAGTTGTGGTGTTGTCTGTCGAAAGCTTGATGCCTGAGTGAAAGCTGATAGCTTCTCAATGCAATTGATAGCACTACTAGGGGTAGCTACCAGTTATGTCGCACCATGTGAAGGAACTCCTCGAAGTAGAAGTATACATTACTTTTGTCATTATGTATTTATTGGCAATTTGATGGGACGTATGCTACACGAGTCCTAGCCGCACCCGGTAGCATAAATGCCTACGAAGGTTAGTCTTTCCAAAAACCGCCCCTCGCCATAGCCCTGATGAATTTAGAGAGCCTATTCACTATGCAATAACCTGAGTTTTTCATCACTCGTCCATTGTAAACCTTGGTTTCAATGCATCTCAACCGTGGTTCTCAACGTTCGCTACTTTACAGCGTTATAGCACTTGTGTATAAACGATTTCGATCACTCACATCGCACCGAGAAAA